AGCTGCCGCGCCCGCTGCGGCGTGATCAGCTCCGACCAACAGGCGTAGTAGCGGACGAGGTGCGGGTCGGTCAGCACGGAGTGCACGCGCACCTCCTGCAGGACGTCTTTTTCACTCGCGTAGTCGCGCACGACGAGGACCTTGATCGCGTACGGGGCGCCCGTCAGGCGGTGGCGCGCGAGAAGCACAACGCCAAAGGCCCCCGCGCCCAAAAGGAGCAAGGGGTCGAAATTTTCATCAAAGAAGGAACTGAATGGCTCGGCATCGTGTGGCGGTTGGGGCGGGGAATCCTTGAGGATCTGAACCGAGGACTCGCACGAAATGGCATGTCTCACGGACTTCATCGCTCTCGAATGCGCGAGTTCATTTTTGTCTGTGCTGTCTTCGGGGTCACTGCTCGAAGAGTCGACGGCGTACGTGATAAAGCGCTTTCCGTCCTCGTGGCACCGTGTTAGGCCGGCACTCCCCCTCGGAGTTATTCTGTGAGGAGACACTTTGAGTCGCATCTTTTGTTTGCCGGTAAGGTTTTTTGGGGATATAATCATAACATGCGGCCGCATTGGCAACTCATTCGAGTATGGAACAAGAATATGATCTGAAAGCAGCATGGAGGTGATAGCCTGAGTAGTATCTCCGAAGCTCTGAAGCACAGATAGTTGGGTCAGCCGCCCTTCGTCGTAAAGGCGAAAGTCCAACATAAAGGCGGCAACGACGTTCAGACCTGTGGTCTGCCCAAGTCTCACGCTGTGATCTGACATCGTCGTGATTTCCTCTGCGTTCGATGCCCACGTGATCAAAATATTATGAGTTTCATCGTCAGTATCCGATCCATCGGAGCCCCGCTGCTTGAACATAACCAACGCAGGTATCGTCATCGTTTGAGAAACAAAGCGAGGATCCCACGAACGCATTCGAGTTTGGGGATCCATAAAGGGACCCTCATCACTGCTGGAAGAACCTTCGTCCCTCATGCCCCTAAGAAGTATAGCTGAACTTGATATCTCTCGACTCATGTTATTGAAGGTGCTGCTGTTATTGTCGTTATGTATGGGTTCTTTTGTGAGCAATCCTAGTTCAAGTGTGTGATCTATGAGTTGAACATGATGCCTAATCGAACGCCTTCTCCGGTTCCTGAATTTGTCATACCAGGACACCTGGACTACGCTTGATAAAACATGAATACCTAAGACCGCACGCCGCTGAGCAACGGCGCAATCACTCATGCTTGAATCCTTCAATTGAAGTGAAAGTGGCGAAGGTGACGTATGCCAGGTGGTGACCTCCGTCCCATCGCTCGCGTCATCCTCGAGGGAAGCCACATGCCACGTGCCCGAGGACGTGTCCACTTCAAGATACCGTTCCTCAGTTCGGCGGAGGGAGACGATTCGATGGGAGGGCGGTTGGCTGTCGGACCCTGGCCGCTCGGAGCCCCCATTCCACTTATTTTGCGCCGTTTGATAGGGGATCCATCCCTGGCGGGGGTGGCGCCAGTACCACCGCACCCCTCGCCCCTCCTGCACGCGGTGCACCGCCGCTTCGCACAGGAGGCCACCCTCCAAGGTATTCCCGAAAGGAGCGGCGACGGCCCGCAGGCGCGACGGGGCGAGCGCGGCGAGCCAATTCGAAGGGTGAAGCACCCGCCGCGCCCAGTCGACCTCGGGTGCCACCGCCCGCGCGGCGCTTCCGCATGAAGGACCCGTTAACTCGGCATTTGCGCGAGGATTGGGGTCCTCTCTCGGACGAGGAGACGTACGCGGGGTATCGGCCGGGGTTGAATCCGGGGTGCGCTTATTACCCTGAAACGCCTCCACCGGGCAGGGAGCTGTATCAACACTAGTCGCTTCGGACTCGGCACCTCCAAACGAGCTACACACACACTGCACAAGCGATGCCGTTGAGCTTCCTAGAGTCGTCATTCCACGCCGCCGCTCAGCATTTAAGGGGATTGGAATGCACCATCGAGGGGCCTGAGGCTGCTCTAAGGAATAGCAGTGCAGAGTCGCATCTAGGCCCACAACGAGGATACAGATTTTTTCAAAAGAGGATATGCCGACCTCCACGTTCATGCAGGCAGAGGTTATTACGGTTAATACTATTATCTATATTTTTGTTGTTTGTTATTTTAATATGGATTCTACATGTTAATAACGTTGAAAAGTTAAATTAAAAAAGAAATAGGAAAATATAGAATTCATCACAGACCTCCCTCTAAACACAAACATTTGGGGTGAAAAAGAGCATGCATTGTTAACACACATTTACTTTACCCCACAACTATGGCCTTTTTTATTACTCTTTCTATGTAGACACCTAATAATTGTGCATCTTATAGTCATACACCTGTACAGGTTAAAAATTTCATCGCTAAGACTGCCTCCTCCTTGAGAAGCAAGAGGAAGAGGGTTCAGCTTGAAACCCCCTGGAGAAGCCAAAGTCAGGTACAGCGACGAAGCACACGAGCTCCGAAAAGCACCCTAGTCTGCGCTTATCGTTGCAACCTTTCCTAAGGTTCCTCCTCTAAGGTTTGTCTTTTTTCGGCATTACGCTTGCTACCCACTGCTTTCTTCGCCTCATTGAGTTCGTACCGGGCTCTCTTCTTCCCAGTAAGCATACCCACCTGCTCCTCGTACGTACGCACAGTCTCACGTTCCAGGAGCGGCACATAGTTCAGTAGAGGAGTAGAAATCCATTGAGGACCGCAGGCAGCCATTTCCCCACTCGCAGTTCCTCGATCAGTGTGAAGGGGCTCCGATGAGACTCTTTGCTGCTGCTGTCGGTTATATAACTCATCCTCGCACAACATCAGGCGGTATAAATCGGACTTCCGAGCCTTGAGATTTTCGTGTGTGTGCGGCTCGGTCCAGTCGCATCCCGTTATACTCCACGCGTCCATTGGAGCTTCATCCACGGCGCTGCAGGGCTTGCGAACAGTCAGCCGCGGTTGGGCGCTTGCCTCCGTGCAATCCTCGAGGCCGTGATACCAGGTGAAGAGCTGCCGCCGCATCGCATCCGCGGTGGTGGCTCGGATGAGCAACGCGGTACAGATATCCTGCAGCTCGTGCTCCACGAGCTGGAACGCGCGATGCGAAAACTGCCACCGCAGGTCTTTAAACCCGCAATCCCAGAGAATGAGTGGGGTGGCGTCCGCCAAGGGGTAAACGGGCTTCTCATCGCCACGCTCCAGGAGCTGCCGAACCACCTCAGGGGACTCCAGCCCGCGGCCGACAAGAAAAAGAACCTCCATCGTACAACGGATTTGATGATACAGAAAGGAGTTCGCCGTGATCTCAAAGAAAGAGATCACCTCCGGCAGGTACTCGCTGCGGTAGATCCCGACCGAGCTGACGTGGCGCTCGAAATTGCTCACATTTACGACGTCGACCTTGCAGAAGTTCCGAAAGTTGTGCGTACCGAGAAAGTAGCCCGCGGCGCGCGCCATCGCGTCGAGGTTCAGCCCACCATGCGCGAAGTAATAGCGATAGGTTCGGCTAATGCAAGAAAAACGCGCGTCGAAGTCATCGAGAACGTAGGAAAACCCCACGATACGGATCGTCGGCGGGAGGCTGTTGTTCAGCATGTGGCCGTAATCCAGTGGTGGCTTTTGCACGGGGTCATCCGGCCACGAGCTCGCCCGCGCCTTCAACGAAAAGACGTTCCCAAGGGCGCTGACACCCTTGTCGGTGCGTCCGCATCGCCCGAACTTCTCCGGCCCACTCTCGGGGATCAGCCGAAGGCGCTTCAGGGCCTCGCAAACGATGCCCTCGACGGTGTTAGCCGTCTCCTCCTGCTTCGCGAGGCCGTCATGCACGTGGCCGTGGTAGGCTAGTCGGAGCGCGATCATACGGCTCGGGTAGTTATCAAACACAAAAGCCCGATCCGCCTTCTTGCGCGTTTTGCCTTTCATGCGGTTAGCTACTAATGTGGGTGATGCGTTGGTATTTTGAGAGTTCTTTTTCAGAAATATTCCTACTTTCTGTGCCGTCGAGTTCATATGAATCGACCGGCCTGTGACTTTTGTGGGTGTGTGCGAAGGGAGTAAAAAAGTAAATGCTCAGTGCTACTAGAGTTTCCATTTTTACACCAGCAGAAAATGCACCGGGGTAAATTTTAGAACAGATACCTCAAGTTGCCGCTGATAATATTCAGCTTATGCGTGTGCACAAGAATAATTTATAGAGTCTTCCATGTTTTAAAAAATCAATAAAGCAAACCTTTGTTGTGTTTCATTAATATTTTCATATAGAAATACTCATTTTCACTTCTTTAGTTTTACAATTCCATTTCGCGCTCAGTTTAAGTCTGTAAATCGCCGCGAAACTATAGCGACAAGGCATTTCTTACCCTAATAAATGCAAGGCCTGAGGCTCGCACGGGCAGCAAGAATACTTTCAGTTTGTCAGTTCGGATGCAGCCATTTCGCTTAGCTTCTTCTCGCGTATCAGCGCCATGGTTTGGGTTATCACCGCGGCGATCTCCTCGGGGGGTGCCATACCGCCAATACCAATATCCCCGCACGCCAGCCGCTTCGAAACGGGGTTCACGACCTGAAACATCGCCTCGGCGAGGGTCTTCGGGAGGGGGCTCACCGGCGGTGCCCCCTCTCCCGCGGTGGAGGGATCCTCCCCCTCCTCCTTTCCTTTTCCCTTCCCCTCCACGGCGTACCACCCCCGGAGCTCCGCCAGGTGCCTCGCCGTGATCGGGTGCATCCACATCGCGGTGTTCATCGACGGGCAGAGGATTACCGGCTTCCGCTGCACCTCCCACGCGCGCATGACGGAGCTGACAAGATTATCACAGAGACCGTTCGCGAGCTTCGCGAGGGTGTTGGCGTCGAGCGGGACGATCACGACGAGGTCCGCCCAACGCCGGAGCTCGATATGGACGATGGCGTCGTTCATCCGCTGCCACGTCGCCCACTCCTGCTCGTCGGTGAGGATGCTCTGGAAGGGGATGCCCGTCTTCGAGGGCTCCGCGCGGTGGAGGAAGTGGAGGGCGGACTTGGTCGTCGCGATGCGGATGCTGCAGTGCTCGCCGGCGAGCTGGTCGAGCAGGAGGCCGGTCTTCACCGCCGCGACGCTGCCCGTAATGAGGATCAGGAGCTTCACTAACGGAGGGGCCTCCGTGGAGGACCTGGAGAGGGATTCCAACGCCGTGGGCATATCTCGCACGGGGTTTCAGGACCGAAGGTGAAACTTCCGTCGGGACGCGTCTAGAGCGTAGGAAAAGGATCGGGCTGGCGGTTCGAGAATGGTAGAGCCGATGGATCAAAGCGATGAAGCCGCAATATTTAAATTTGAATAGGTTTGCTAAAATGTATATAGGAACCCACTGCAACTCTAAAAACAATAATGGAAAATAATTTAAAAGAAAAATAAAGGGACAAGAAGCTGAGAAGTATACCGATGCATTTCGTGCATAAGCGCCACTAAAAGAACACGATCATCATTCACACAGCTATTCTATCAAACAATGATTCTGCTTGGGAGCGTACAGACATTTTCTCCCTCACCCCTACCGCACTTCGAAAATAATCGCTTCCTTCATGGTGTGTGCGTGCAGATGTGTGAGGGTAAATGTAGGTGCTATTTTCTGATTCAAGGACTAAAATAGCTTATATTAGTCGATTGTGGGAAACATATCGGGATATTAATATAGGTCGGCATGGCATTTTAAGTACACGCATAAGTAAATATTCACAGAACACGCTATAATAGCGAGAAAAAAAACGTCATCCTGATAACGGAGTTGAAAAGTGCGTTCCGACGCCTTCACAACCCTTGATGAAGCCCTTCCGCGTGCACAATTTCTTCCCCTTTAGTCGCTAAAGTCCTCTATCACCTCGCCATCGGGAATCAACGGCATCACCGCACCATCGTCGTCGACCCATGACGCCTCCGCCTCGTCGAAGTCGCCTTCGTCCTCAAGCAATCCATCGTCGAAACGCCGATTCCCACGAGGTAAATAAAATGCATTCTCACGTAGCCTCACGGCGGTGGGCAGTCCTCGTTTAAGCAAGCGGTAACGTAACTCGCTGCATGGCCGTTTTCTCACAGGTGACCCGTTTTGGCCCTGCCCAGCCACGTGAGGGTGCGAAGAGGGATCGACGCCCGTAGCGAGTGGAGTCCCGCTCGCCCCCACCGCCGAGGACGACGAAAACGAAAAAACGGTTCGCCGCCGACTGGGCGGCGGGGCGGCCCCGCCTTCCCCCTTTGGAAGGGGAAAAAAAGGCGCAGGAGGCGGAGGAGGGGGAGGGGAGGCCGAGGGAAAGAATGACAGCAGGGGAGGAGGGGGGGGGCGGGCGGCGGTTGAGGACGATGTACTGCGCAAAGGGCGCATAGTCGAGGACAGCGACGTCGAGCCCACCACAGCGGTGGAGGGCCCCCGGCACCACCTCCCGCAGCATATCGAACTCCCATGATTTTAACGGTCGCGGTGCGGCCTCCCCCCCCGCCCCTTCCTCCTTTTCTTCCCCTTTAAGGCGAGCGAAAAACCTTCCTCGCCACCCCCCTTCCTCCTCGCTCGCCCCCTTCATCCCGCTCCTTTCTCGTTTCCCCCCCCTCCCCTCCTCCGCGATCTCGCGAAGGCGGGGGTAGGGAGGGACGACGAAGGGCGGTGGGCGCTGCGCGAGGAACGTCTGCGGGGGGTGCACCTCGCGATGCGCGACGCGGTACGCGCGGTCGAAGATGACGAGGAGGATGAGATCCAGCGCGCGTGCGAGCGATGGGGAAAGCGAAAGAAAAGGCGAGGCCGTCTCGCCGGTGCGATCCGCCAGCGCGAGGCGGCGGGCCGGGGCAAAATCCCCCCCGCCCCCTGCGCAGCGCAAGGCGTCGACGTCGCTCGCGCAGCCCGCGCAGTCGGCGTAGGCCGCGACCTGCTCACGCGCGAAGAAGTTCGGCAGGTTGTTCGCGAGGTAGTAAAAGAGCTTCCGCGGGGGGACGCTGAGGGTGGGGAGGACCGCCTCGAGGGGGTACCGCTGCGTGAGCAACCGCGCGGTGGCGTGGGAGAGGTCCACGGAGGCATCCCG